GCGACAAGTTAGTGTCCTTGCGTAATAATAGAACGTGAGGAAATATATAATAGTCCACCTAATATTCCTAGGGTTCTAACATTGGTAACACACGTGGACCCTCCTGTATTCAACTATATTATCATGTACAATATGTATGTGTTTACACGGGAATATAATCCATTTCAGTTCGTGACGTGCCTAACTTTGAAAAATCAAAAACCATAGAAAAAAGTCTTTTCGAAAAAAAAACACAAGGTCAAACAAATAAGAAACTTAAAAAAAAACAAAAATTCAAAAATTATTATATGCGACGTCAATTAAAAACATAAAAAGACTTGTTTAAAACAACAAAAAGCCAAGGCTTCCATCATTTTTTATCATGTGCCACGACAATATATGATTTTTCATATTATTTTAAATAAAGGATCTGAAAAACGTTTTTCCAAAAAAAACAAACAAAGTAAAAAATTAAAAATTAAAAACTAAAAACATAAATTAGCAGTTGCCAAAAAAATAAGTCTCATAAAAAAAAAAATCCAAACAGAAATTAGAGTTTGCCACGTAATTTGGAATTTTTATAAAACACATGAAAACCTATTTTTCAAAAACAAAAACAAATTAATGTATAGAAATAATAAAAAATGACAATTTTGTAAATTTAAAAAATAGAACCACAAAAATACGGCTCATCCGAAAAAATAAAAAATAAAAACATAAAAACAGAAATTAGCATTTGTCACGTAATTTACAAATAAATAAAATACATGAAAACTCATTTTTGAAAAATAAAAACAAATTAATGTATAGAAATAAAAAAAAATGACAAAACCGTAAATTAAAAAAAAAGAACCACAAAAATACGCCTCATCCAAAAAAATAAAAAATAAAAACATAAAAACAAAAATTAGCATTTGCCACGTAATTTACAAATAAATAAAGAGTGCTGCTATTAGCACCTACCAAAATTCTTTGCACCTCCCATTTTTTTGGACCCCAACCCTAAACCTTAAATTTTAATAATATTTTTTTGGACACCCCACTTATTGCCAAATCTACCAATGTTCATAATATTTTCACAATGAAATGTACACCCACCTAATTTTTCATCCATCTCCTTCCTTGACTCACTCAATCTTCAGAGTTTGGAGCTTTGGTCCAATATAGAGTTCTTGGACCCCAACCCTCCATCACTCTCGTCGCCGTCTCGGCCGTCAACGGAGCATTCCGACGACTCTCATCTTCTTTGAACGCTCTCTGTGATATCCTTGTTCTGTAATATGTTAATTGGTCCTTAACATGAATGTGATTATGTGTTTCATATGATTTTGTGTGCCATTATGTGAAAATATGTGGTTTTGAATTTCTATCTGTTCACCGTAGGAATATCTGTTTGATTATCTGCTTTAGAAATTAAATTGAAGGCCTTATTGGCCACATAAACCAAAATTGACTACGCCATTGCGATTGGCATAATTTTTAGAGCCTACGGTAAAATTTGATTGAAAATTGATTTGGATCAGATTAAATTGATTTAATTAATGGCATAGTACTTAAATTATTTTATATTAAATAATTATGGTTAGTGGGACTTGTAAAGAGAGGCACTATACACTCTATTCACACACTGAGCTCAAAATCAGATCCTGTGCCTTAGAAAGAGAGAGGGCCGGCTATAGAGAGAGAAAATGAGAGAATTGTGTAATCTTGGCTCAAGGTTTGGGGAATTTGAAGATTAAACTCAAGAATTTGCTATAGTTTGGAAGATTGAGCTCTTAGGTAAGGGAGTTCATGAGTTTAATGTGTAATATTGTGAATTCAAGTTTGATTGATGGTCAAGAACATGAATTAGTTTCATTATAAGGAAATTGAGTTGATTTTGTTGTATTTGAAGTCATGGAATGCATGCATGTGCATAATAGCCATGAATTTGTATAGTTGAGCATGAAAAATATGATCCATGTAGAATTGTGGCTAGAATCCATGGTTGTGACCACCATTTGTACAATTTGAGTTGAAATGGAAGTTATATCTCATACGCATGTACCATTCATAAGAAGTATGAGCTTGAGTGCATGAAATTGTTATGTTGAAAGTGAATTTGGTGTAGATTGGGACATACATGTGATTAATTTGTGAAATTGAGCTCTATTGTGTTGTAATTTGGTGTTGGTACCATGTTAGTATATGATTATGTGAAGTTTGAGCCAAAAGCATGCATCTAGAACCATTGAATGTCGAATTTGAGCTCAAGAACATGTTCTGGAAAACCCAGAAAATTTGATGTCTGCTCGAGCGGGGAAACCGCCACTCGAGCGTGAATTTCGTGCTCCTAGTATTTTCTGCAGACATGGTGTCCGCTCAAGCGGGGAGCCATGTAGAGAGGCCTTCCGCTCGAGCGCCAAAGTTCGCGATCGAGCGTAAATTTGACGTATCCAGTACTTTTGCAGGCCTCAAGGGTCCGCTTGAGCGGAGAAGTCCACGCTTGAGCGGGGACCCTGTTTTCTGAAATTTTAAAAAGACATTCTCTGTTTCATTTTCTGTTCTCTTTCACTTCCAAGTACTCATAGACATGCATTGAGCATTATAATTGAGTTAAAGAGATAAGAATGAAGCCTAAAGAGGAAAATGTGAATTTAGATTGGATCAAATTGTTTGTGACCTTTTTGTGTTCATGGAATGTGTAGGGTCGAGCTCCAGGGCAAACCAACCAACCAATCAACCGATCACTGTGAGTAATATCTTAACAGAGATATCTGAAATATGTTATTGTCCAATTGCTTACTTCTATGTAAGTTTTATAAGTTCATTGATTCGATTAGTGGACAATGTTTGCTATACCAAATGAGTGGGCCAGAGGCTAGTCTGATCTAAATAATAGAATGAATGAGCTAGAGGCCGTTTGGATATGAATGGATGGGCCAGAGGCCGTTTTGATATGAATGGATGGGCCGAAGGCCGTTTTGACATGAATGAATGGGCCAGAGGCCGTTTCGACATGAACGAATGAATGGGCCAAAGGCCATTTTGTCATCTGAATGGACCAAAGGCCGTTTTGACACAAATGAAAGTTTGAATGGGCCAAAGGCCAGTTTGTTTGGAACCGCAGTCACTTGACCTAAATTGTGTATATATGTTAAATAGAAATATGAATTGGGCTTAAGGCTGTTTGAAGCATGTTGTTCTACATATCGTCTGTATAGCTTCTTTAATTAATATTATTCACTGGGCTTTCGCTCAGGCTCATTCGTGTGTTTTGTAGGTGAGCCAAGAGAAGTCCAAACCCAGCTCCAGTGAAGTCTAGGTGGAACAACAAAGGTTTTGGGAGAGTCAGCCCTTGTGTCTCACGCACAAGACCTGTCTTCGCCCTTTTGTTATATATTTATATTCTGTCATGTTGGCGAAGACTTTGCATCTGTTGTATATAGTTGTGATGGGTTGACTTAGACTTATATGATCCTGTATGTACAGAACCTTATGTAGTACATATTTTGTTGTGAGTTATTAATATGCATGCGTATGGTTTGTTATGATGTGCCATGTAAACACAGCTCTATAGACAAAGTTTTAAATTGCTTCCGTTTGGCCCCCATTAACTCTGTTAAAATACGTTTGGTTTGATTCAAGGCCGTAGATAATCTCTTGATTATTGGCCGGTTATGTCCTTAACCCACGGGGGCAGGTTCGGGTCATGACACTCTCCGTATCGCCGAATCAGTAACCTCTCTTGTCCTCTCATCATCATCTTTTTCGTTGCTTTTTGTATCTTCGTCATCGCGGAGATCGATCGAAGATACTCCAATTTCTACGGGATTTGCATAACCATTTGCAAGATAAGGAAAAACAGAATCATCGTCTGAATCGCCATCAGAATTATCATCTGAATCGTCATCAGAATTCCGAATGTAGCCTAAAACAATTTGTTCACCACTGTGTAGCCGAAAAAATGTATTTTGTTCAGAACTGTTTTGTCGAACAATAATGATCCTGTCAGCACTGTATGTTCGAACTAAATTTTTTCAGCACTGTGTAACTTGAATCCATTCTAATTCACAACTTAAAATAACATGAATTAATTCCATTCAAAATACATAACTTAAATCCATTCCAATTCACTCTTTTCCATTCTAAGTTAGTTTAACAAAGAAAATTACATAACTGACTATCTGCATTAATGTTCGGAACTTATGTATTGAACGAAAGGATTATGTTCAGTACTGTATTACCGAACATAATTGTAACAGACAGTAAACCAGTACCGAACAGCTCGAACAAAACAAGAACGACCGAAAACGACCAAGAATGTTAATACAAGACAGATAAACGATCGAGAATGTTGTCCTCGTCCTCCATTGCTCTACACAGTGAAATAAGTGATGAAGTATACGTTATACTTGAAGCAAAACTTTCAAGTTCAATAGCGTTGATGATGGTGATGAAGATGACACATTCAGGATTTAAGATGATTATGAAAAATAATAGATTTAGGATTTATGTTAATTGGTTATGAAAAATAATAGGTTTAGGGTTTACAAATATGGAATACGTATAGTTAGAGTTGGAGGTGGGGGTGGGTGTCCAATATTATAGAGTATTAGTTCTTATTGATAAGTGGGTGTTCTATTTAATAATATCTTTTAATGTAATTTTACTTTAGGGCATAATTGTAATATAAAAAAAATTATAAAATGAAGAGTCCAAAAAATTTTGACAGGAACTAATAGCAGTACTCTTTGGCCATGTTTGATTCACAATATTAATAGTGAGGTATTAATAATCCTATCAAATTAGTGTGGTATTAACTATCCCACCCCTACCCTATTACTAATTATCCTACAAATTTGTTGGATTAATTATCCATTGGATTAATAGTCCTAAACCAAATGTCAAAACAAACATAGGATGGTTGGGCCCACGGATTAATAATCCTAATCCCATACTTTAATCCTTCCAATCAAACATGCCCTTTAATTATTGACATTACTTTATCACCGGCCTAAATTATGTGGTCCTAACTTGCGCGGTAACGGATGTGGTGGAATTAACGTATGCCATCGCGTTAGAGAAGCACAACACAAAGAACATGGTGAAGGGACTAAACTTCCGGTGATTTTCATGAGGCTCCCTCTCGAGGTACTAACCTCTTCTAATCAAATTTTTCGACGCAATTAAAACCCTATTCTTTATTTTTACTCAATCAGTTTGTTGATTTTTCTAAGGTTTTAATCGTATTTCTGTCGTTTGTATATTCATTCTATTTGATAATTATTATCTAGTAATTGTTACCACGTTACAGAGAATTTGAAATGTCACCATTTGATGCGAAATGATTCGATTCCATAATAGTTAGAATTTGTCACCACACGCAAATTTATTTATCGCCATTTGATCTCACCTGTCTCTGAGTCATGATCTTTCCTTTCCAATTAAGACTTTCCATTGTCTACTTCATTGGTGATTATTGAGTACTCTCGGAGCATGTTTGTTTTGAAGGATAAGGATGTGGGATTGGACTATTAGTTCCACCGGACTAATAGTCCATTGTTTGTTTGCAAAATTTTGCTCCGGACTATTAATCCCACCAATATGGGACTATTCTATCTCATGGGGGGTGTGGGATAGAAACCATGGGATTGGTATCCCATGAGATTATTTGGTGAAATGTCCATTTTACCCTCCATGCTGTTACTTAGTAAACAATTAGAAAGGGTAAAATAGTCTTTTGAACATTTATAAATTATTTTTTTAGTGTTGTTAATTTAAAATTATATATTAAATAAAAAAATTAAATTATAAATTATAAATTAAATTTAATTAAAAATAATAAATTAAAAATTATGGCCTTATAAATTAATTTTTTTTAGTGTTGTTAAAAAATTAAATTTACATATTTCTCTAAAATTATTTTTTTAGTGTTGTTAATTTAAAATTATATATTAAATAAAAAATATAAATTATAAATTAAATTTAATTGAAAATAATAAATTAAAAATTATGGCCTTATAAATTAAATTTTTTTAGTGTTGTTAAATTATAAATTATAGATTACAAATTTAAAATTATATATTAAATAAAAATTATAAATTACAAGAGTAAAATAGTCTTTTGTACATTTATCTTTATTCAGTCCGTCTAACCAAGCATTAAATTTACTAAAAATAATCCAATACAGACATCTAATCCCATACAAACATCTAATCCCATGACTAAACAAACATAGGATACAAATCCAGTCCAACCAAATAGTCCGGGGACAATGTATCCCGGGACTAACAGTCTGATGGATTACAATCCCCCCTTATCCAGTCCGTCCAAACAAACGCACCCTCGACGTACGATCACGTGATATTGCATGATATTATGTTTAGTGAAAAATATGGAGTATTATAATTTTGTATTGAGTGATTGAAGAACCTGAGAAGTATGATGAATGATGATTAGTGAAGGAGTTTAAACACGTGGTACTTCGAAAGTACCTAATAGTTTTCCCTATTTCATATGTTTCATCTGGGCAAATTTTCCTATACACAAAGGATTATATCATATACACTCCTAATTATGTCATTTTCTTTTTTAGTTATGATTAATTTTTTTTGTTTAATTATGATAATATTTTAGTTATAACTCATGTGTGTTTGGTTTTCATTTTTTTATTATAATTATAACTAAAAAGATATAAAATTATGTTATTTTCTTATTTATTATAAGGTGCATGTGGGTGTGTATCATAAGCTTTCCCTTCATCTTATATAAATTCTTCGATTTGTGCCATCTGCTTTGTCCATTTTGTTTTGGCTGAACTTCTTATGAATTTAAAATCGAATACCTTTGAAATTATGACTCGGTCATGTCGAGCATCTATCTTTGGATCATTGTCCTTGTTCTAGGAATGTTAACATCACCAATTTATATTTTAATCATCATCCTTGTAATGCATGTTCATGATCAACTGTTTAACAGCCTTGTCATTAGGGGTATGATAGGAATTGGGCGAAAATTTAGTAGTCAATTGAATTTTTCAATTTTGTTAGTTAATGTTAGGATCCTACATTAGTTTACATAGGTTTGACCATGTACATATAAGTCTCTTAGACACCCTCTTCTTACAAGTTGATTTTCAAGAGTAAATTTTACCCAAAGGGCTCGTATCCTATGGTATTAGAGCTAGCACTTTAGGAGCCTAATATAGCATAGAATTGAGATTAATCCATTGTGGTTTGGTATTGGTGTAAATTTTTCTAAAATCAAAACAGATCTTACCTTATGAAAAACTGACGGAAAGCCCGATTAGGTTTCCCTTTTTATTCTTACAGCGCTGATTTTCATTTATGATGGCTGGGTGAGTCATTTACCTGTGAAATTTCAACATCAACATTGATAGGATTGCTGTTATTCATTTGTTTGTTTATTGCAAGATCTTTCAGCGACTATTTCTTTGAATTATTCTAATGAAACGATGACATAGAAACCTGACCTCCATATAATCAATTTTAGATTTAAAATGGACCAGGTCGATTGTTTGATTGGAGACGAGGTTGTTGCTGGTTACGTCTGTGTTGAAATGACAAACGCCTTCTACTCATCAACTTTAACCAATTTCAATGAAATTGAGGGTGGTTATGGTCTTTTTAAAGGAGCAAGGATCCTCTAGAGTGATTTTTCTCTAAAGTTTTCTATAGTGCTACATTGTGTGGTTGAGATTTACTGACAAGTCACATCAATTTTTCTGATGTGACTTGCCAGTAAATCTCAACCACACAATATAGCACTCTAGGAAACTTTAGAGAAATTTCACTCTAGAGGATCCTTGGTGCTTTTAAAAGGCTTGTAAAAGAGCAAGTAGTCAAACAAGATCATTCATTCGACATGGGAGATTGGACGCAGATTGGTTCTTTTCCTCCTGAACAATACCACTTTCATCAAGAGAAAATCTCCGAGAAAAGAGCCCAATTGTTCGAAGATTATCAGCAACCCATCTCGAATTATGGGGTGCCAAACACCTTCCACCTCAGTGGCACTCCCATGCCACTTCTGTAAAAAAATACTGTATTATTGATTGATTTCTGATTGTTGTTCATTTTGTATATTACAAGGATGTATTATATAGGAGAAGTTTTGGGAGTAGGTGAAGGTGTGTGGTAGGTGAGTTGAGTGGAGGTGGGTGGTAGGTGATGATATATTTTAACAGCCCCCCGCAAACTCAAGGAGGATAGAAACTAACCAACTTGAGTTTGGAGAGAGGAGCAAAACAAGAAAATACATAAAAATAAAAAAAGATAGGAGACACTGAACATTTTTGATTTTATGTGATATTTATTTACAACCACCGTGGGCCCATGCGAGGAAGGCTTGGATCAAAAGCCGAAAGTAATAGACGGTCCATAACAAGTTCCTGAATCGGGAAGGGTGCCAACTAAATACATCCATAAGGACAAAATCCCCGATCATTGAATAACAGGAATAAAGTAAAACGACAGATCATGTGGACGATCAATTCCTCCTCTTTGTCATTTTAAAGAAAGCATTATATTGACTAGACCGTAAGAACTCCTTTCACATTGGCTAAATTGTGCAAAGTTTTCTAGTATATATATATATGTACATGCATAAAATTTTTCAAATTTGTGCAGATTTTAGCAATTTACGTGTGGATTGGAGGAAAGTGAAGTTGAAATCTTACATCCAGTCTCATGCGTGGCATGTGCGAAGAAAGCAGCAATTTCACGCTTAGAATCGTCAGCAGTTCCAGTGGTGCCAAACGAAGGGTAGGAAACGAGGGCTTCAAGAAATGCAGACCTGGTGAAGAAGCTTTTCCCTGCACATCCAGCAGAAGCTTGATTGATTATCCCATTGAAAAAGGACTGTGTCACAATATTAGAGACCGAAGCACCGTTGGAACCGGTACAAGGCCCTGATTGGCAGCCTGCACCACAGTAGGCATTGCCAGTGCCACAATACCCATACTGGCTGCAGCAAAGGCCTGCTGCACAACCACAGTTCTGACCCACTACGATTTCCGGTAGGATGGCACCGGCGAGTATTCCGGCCAGAATGATTGTCAGTAAGCTGTTTTTGATATTGAGGGTTACCATTTTGGAAGAGTGTGTGTGGTGTGGGATGAAATTAAGGTGAGAGAGACATGGTTTTATAATTGTACAATGGAAAATGTGTGGAAAAATCAACATTCCTACTAGATAAGTGTGCTAAAGGCGGAAAACAAGGAGCTGAAGCGGAAGGCCACCGTTATGTTCCGATTTGGAGGTCCGCCATATGCTGTAGTGGAGGAGCAGGGAGTAGTGATCGTGCCCAGTGGAGTGGGAAACACGGAGGCAACACCGGCAAGGGCCGCCCAGGACGGAGGCAAAAAGAAGAGACCTGCGGCAGAGTAGAGAAGAAAAATCTCACTGTGGGTGTGGTTGTTTTGGTTGGGTGTTTTTTTTTATTTATTTATTTATTTATTTTTATTGTGGTTGTAGAAATGTGCTCGGGGTTGATCCCCGAGATGAATAAAATGACAAGGTAAATGGTGTTGGTGTTATTTTGTGGTGTTGTTGTGTGTAATAATAAAAATAAAATAAAATAAAACAATAGATAAAGAAAATAGATAAAAATAGTTGTGGATGGGTGATAAAAAACATCACCCAAATGGGCAAAAGGAAGAGAGAGAGAGAGAGAATTCAATGATCCTTTCCCAAGCAGAAGCTGCTTTTCTAAGAGTATTTTTTTGAATAACTCATTTCTGCCAAGCATAGGTCTGTTATCAGAATCCTTTGTTGAACTGACTCAATGCTTCCACTAGCTTCAGTCATTTCTCTCACAATAGACCTGTAGTACTGCTTGAGCTTATTGATCATGCATGAGTACTTGAGCTTCAACCACCGCAGTCGGGCTCGCCGGAATAGTCTTCCCAAGAGGAGTCCTCGCCGGTGCTTCTTCTTCCCTCCGAGGCGGATGGTTGGCGGCTTTCGTCTCCGTAGCGGTGGTTTGAGGCGGTAGGGCCACCGGAAGTAGGCGGTGGTGGTGGTGGGGTGACGATGTGAAGTTGGACGGGACGAAGTCGATGCCGAATAAGCCGAGGAGGTAGATGACGAGATGACGGCGGCGAGCTCGGAGAGGGTATGGAGTTGCAGATCCGTAGGGATGGATTTTTCTGGAGCGATTGAGGCTTCCAATTGGAGGATGTGATTGTGCTTCTTGCGGAGGGCACGGAGGCTTTGCTTTGGCGAGGTATGTGTAAGAAAAATCTTAGCGGACTAGGTTGAGGTCCGGCGGGCAGCTAAGGTGAGGTTGCCGCCCGCCGGGGAAGCGAAAATATCAGGTTCTAAACCTGCTCTGATACCATGTAAAAAAATACTGTATTATTGATTGATTTCTGATTGTTGTTCATTTTGTATATTACAAGGATGTATTATATAGGAGAAGTTTTGGGAGTAGGTGAAGGTGTGTGGTAGGTGAGTTGAGTGGAGGTGGGTGGTAGGTGATGATATATTTTAACAACTTCAGCCAATTCCAGCAGCCACAGAGCAAGAGATGACCGACGTCCAGTGCTCAGAAATTGGTGAGGCAAAGAAGGAACAACCATATCCATTTTTTGTGACACCTTTTGAGCTGTTCAGCAACTATGGAAGCAGATCCAACAAGGCAAGAGAGGTAAGTGTGGGCAATCTAAGCAACCAGGCTCAAATGTATGGCTGGAAATTGTCAACGGAGGAGATCATGAGGGTGGCTGGAGAAAGGTATGTCCGGTTTTCGACACAAAGAGTCTGCAATTTCTCCACTTCTATGCACCCTTATGGTTGTGCTATGATGGGTCTATCGATGGACGAAACAAAAGACGTAGAGCTTGTCCAACTTCTTCTTTCTGCGGCAGATAAGCTGGGTTATCAGCAATATGACCGAGCAAGCAGATTACTTTCCCAGTGTGAATGGATGTCATCTGAGACGGGCAATCCTGTGCAGAGAATCGTGTACTATTTTTCTGAAGCTCTTCGTGAGAGGATTGACAGAGAAACAGGAAGGGTCACGTTGAAAAGGGCGGAAGGAGGAGGAATTTATGGGAAGAGTCTGGTATTGGGTTCTAGCTTTGCATTCTTAGCACACCACCAAGCTATACCGTTCTTGCAAGCGATTCAATGTGCAGCGGGCTGTGGAGCAAAGAATGGCAGGGCAGGCAGATGTGGAGGCCAATCAGTATACCTTGAAGTCATTTGCTGCAATTAATGATGCTGGTATTCGGCCTCCTGAGGGCTGGTGTCATCCTCACCATTTTGGTTCTTTTGCTCCTCCACGGGGTTTGACTGAAGATGGTAGTCAAGCTCAGTGGTTTGTAGATGGCCTAGCAGCATTTGGAGCTATTGCTTTGGCAATTGAGGAAGCAAAGTCAGAGGTATATTTCTTGCAGCCATAGTGTTGCCAAATTATAATCAAGCACACTTTAATTTCCGATGTTGTCTACAGAACACTTGTTGGATGATTAAAAGTTGAATGCCAGATATTTATCTGTGGCTGGTGGCTGTGCCCAGAACTGTACCTCCGACGTCCTTTTCAGGCTCATGCATCCTCTCGGCTTGATGCCTTACTGGAAGAAAAAGCCAAGAAAGGTGTTCAGGTACACTAGTTCCTGCAAATGATTTTTTGGTTTAATACTGCATTTTTTCATCTGGATTGATCTTATGTTTTTTGGGATACCTTTTTTTTATTGGATTTCTTACAAAATAAGTTGTAAAGTTTCCATTGTGATGATCGGTTCTGAGTTTTTTCTACTAATTTGATATCTTTATAATTTGATAGTTGAACGGATCCTTTGCTTCTGCCGTTACTAACATATTCCATTATATTCCCTTATATTCTACGGGATCACAGGCATTTGCCCTAGTGGTCATGGAGAGGGCACTTAGGCTTTAGGTTCGAGTCCATGGAAAGATGTTGGTCTGCATTGTAATTTAACTATTAACATATTAACGTCTATCTTATGCCAAAAAAAAAAGAAAAGAAAAACAAGAAATAATTACCATGATCCTGATCTCTCTCTCTCTCTCCCTCTCAATCTCTTTGATTAAGTCCATAATATTGTTGAACAATCTCCGTTTACATTTTCTGCTTTATTGCTTCATGACTGACAAACCTTGAAATATTTTTAATTTTTCTTTCTTTTCTTTAGTTCCTTTAAATCCATCATATTACAGTGTTTGGATAACAGAAAATTGTGCCCACAAGAATAAGAACTTTTGCATCTGGGTGATATTATATGGCATGGGGCACAAGTGGTCCTATTTTGGCATCCTGTTATTGTTAGTCTTCTAATCCAACTTTTTACAACTAAGTTTTCAAATTGTAGTTGATGTTTTTTTTTTTTTTGCGTTTGGGAAGATAGTTAAATTTTTTTATGGTTGAATGTGATGTTTGTGAGAGAAAAAATGAAATGATTATGGAGTTTAATGTGATATTTTGTTTGAATTTATTTTTTTAATTTTA